ACTGGTGGTTTAAATAATCGGTTAGTTTCACAGCTAGAAAATCGAAGTGGCTGCATGAATGCTGCCACAAATCTTAGGAAGTACTGGGGCGTTTCGCTGGACATCCATCCGGTTGGTTCGAAACGGCATCTTGATACTTCCCGAGAATAGCGGCAACATGCACGTTGCGACTTTGACTTTCTAGCTGGAAGACATACTGGTGGTTCGAAAGGTTGGGAACCTCATAATTTTATGCAGTGTTCACATTTTTGGAAGCTATTTGCAACAGTTAGAAACCTCATAGTTGAGGCCCCGTGGAGCTTCTGATAAACATAAAATGAAAGGGGAAATTGCATCTATACCCCACTTAACGATGGGAATACCTGCTATACCCAGCCCCAGCGCCAACGTGCATCTATACCTAGAAACCTCCTGGTATAAGTTGTTTGCATGTGCAAGACCTAGGTGGACCCAGGTTGGTACAACAACTTATGAACTTACCCAAGCAAAATTATGGGCATACCCGGACCTGAGGTAATTAATTGTTCATATACCCTGCTACCCGGATGGCTGAAATCATTCTCATACCCAGCAGCTGTTGGGCCACAAAGGTCTACTTGGTGGGGATGACCATTATTCTATGCTCTGAATCCAGGGCATGCGGGATTGGGTACGCCTACAATTTTGCACAGGGGAAAAGTTGGGTGCTATGCAAAGTTCGCAGCCCTTAGGCTGCGGTATAGTGGGCTTCCGCGTCTGTGTCAAGGTGTCGCATTTTTGGCGGCGGGTTACCAGGACGCAAAGTGGGTTCTTAGGGGGAAAAGAATTTGGGGGACCGGTCCTTGGCGAAATTGCGGACTACCTACAGCTAGCTCTGGTAGAACCGGGACTTTTGGAAAAAGGAAGGACCGGTCCTCGGGTGGAAGTGGACCCCAAAAGAAGTGGGGGGCGTTGAGCCCCGTCTTTTCAAAACAGGGAGGTCAGGTACAACGAAATAGGTGTTTTGCAAAAGGCAACTTCGGCGATTTTCTGTGCTGAGACGAACATGCACAAAAATATGAAATTTTGAGAATCCATAGATGAGGTCGTGTTCTTTCCATAAATACTAATAGAACATTTACAAAAACTCATTTACACTGCGAAATAATCGTCGCGCCGATTCGGCACATTTTCCATTTTTGCCACTCAGCCATGCCTGAGCCAACTAAAAAAGTACTCCAAATTCAGTGAGTTTTCACGCTCAGAAGAATGAGTGAAAAAACCTGAAAATTGGAGTACTCGTAGATTTTGTTGTGTTATTTCCAGGAAAAACGTTAACTAAATTAAAAAAAATTATTCCAACTGCAAAATAAATCGCGGCCGCAATTTGATCCATATTTCAATTTTGCCATTCAATCTCTCTCTCTCTCTCTCTCTCTCTCTCTCTCTCTCTCTCTCTCTC